ACGCTGAAGATTGGGACACAGCTCCCCCAACAGTTCCGAAGGGACATCCTCTCTGTCCTGAGAGCGTACGCCATCGTCTTCGCATGGGGACCAGAGGACATGCCGGGCATCAGCCCGAAGGTAATCACACATCGGCTATCGGTAAACCCGGCCTCCTCCCCCATCAAGCAGAAGAAGCGCTACCTCTCGGCAGACAGAAGGGAGTTCGTCAAAGCCGAAGTGGCCATGCTGCTCTCCATCAAGCACATAAAAGAGGTGAAGTACCCCACGTGGTTGGCGAACGTCGTCCTCGCACCAAAACCGCCCACGTTCAGAATGTGTGTTGATTACACTGACCTGAACAAGGAGTGCCCGATGGACCCATTCCCTCTCCCCAACATTGATCAGTTGGTGGATGAGACGGCGGGGTGCGAGTTGATGTCGTTCCTCGACGCGTTTAGAGGGTACCACCAGATATCCATGCACGAAGATGACGCGGAGAAGACTGCTTTTATGACCCCGGAGGGAATTTTTTGCTACCTCGTCATGGCCTTTGGGCTCAAGAACTCCGGCGCCACCTACACAAGGATGGTAGCCCGGATTTTTAGAGCAGTCTTAGGTCGGACGATGGAAGCATACGTCGACGATATGATCGTCAAGAGCAAACAATCCACAACTCATGCCGACGACCTCCGGGGCATCTTCGAAATCATGAAGAGGTACAATCTCCGGCTCAACCCGAAGAAGTGCACCTTCGGCGTCCAGGGAGGTAAATTCTTGGGGTACCTGGTCAGCCGAAGGGGCATCGAGGTGAACCCAGAAAAGATACAAGCCATTATCAACATGGAGCCGCCCCGCAACATAAAGGAGGTGCAACGACTGACGGGACGCCTCGCGGCCCTGAACCGTTTTCTCTCAAAATCCGCTGAGAAGTCTCTCCCCTTTTTTCAAATAATGAGGAAGGCCACCAGCTTCAAATGGACGACGGAGTGCCAGCAAGCCTTTGAGGAACTGAAGCAATATCTCGCCTCCCCACCCGTCCTATCCAAGCCCCAACCCGGCGAGACTCTCTTCCTTTACTTAGGAGTGAGCACGTCGGCCGTCAGCTCCGTACTCATCAGGGAGGATGACGGGGTACAAAAAGCTATATTCTACGTCAGCAAGACGTTGCGGGAGGCTGAGCTTAGGTACTCCCCCATTGAGAAGACAGTGCTGGCCATCGTCCATACAGTGAAAAAACTTGGGCACTACTTCCAGGCCCACCCCGTCCACGTCCTCACGCATCAGCCGTTGGGAGCCCTCATGAGGAGCCCAACCAGCTCTCCAAGGATGATCAAGTGGGCAATATTCTTGAGCCAGTACCAGATTGAGATCAAGCCGAGGCCATCCATCAAAGGGCAAGCCTTAGCTGATTTCGTCACCGAGTGCACGGCAAGGGAGACGACCGTTACCACCACAGGAGCTGAATCGGACGAAGCCTGGACCCTCTACACGGACGGGTCCTCGGCCACCAAAGCCTGTGGGGGTGGCGTCGTCCTCATCTCCCCGGAAGGATTCAGAGCATACTACGCCATACGCTTCAACTTCAAAGTATCCAACAATGAGGCCGAATATGAAGCGCTCCTCAGCGGACTAAGACTAGCCGCTGGCCTTAAAGCACGCCACGTCAGAATCAAATGCGACTCCAAACTCGTAGTGAGCCAGATGGAGGGTTCCTACGAGGCCAAAGAAGGGAGGATGAAGCAATACAAGGAGGCCGCTGCGGAATTGCTCATGGCGTTCGATACCTACGAGATCACTCAGATCCCAAGGGCGGAGAACGCCGAGGCCGACATCCTCTCCAAACTCAGCTCCGACACCCCTGAGCACATCTCCAAGATAGCTAAGGTGGAGGAGTTGAGCATGTCAAGCATTCACGCTAGTCCCATACTCTCCATACAACACCAGCCGGAGGACTGGATCACTGACATCGCAACCTACATCGCCTCCGGCACACTACCTGAAGACGAGGAGAGGGCCAAACTCGCCAAACTTAGGGCGCCAAGCTATGTCATTGAGGGTGACAAGCTCTACAAAAGATCATACAATGGCACCCTCCTCCGGTGCCTCCACCAGAATGAGGCCGAGGTGGCCATGGAAGAAGTCCACTGCGGCGTATGCTCATCACATCAGGGACCCTTCAGCATGTCACGCCGCCTCGTCGTCCAAGGCTACTTCTGGCCGACGATGGCACGCGATGGTGCTGAGGTCGCCCGCAAATGCAGCGCATGCCAACACTACCAAAGGGCACCTGGTCGGCCGGCCGTCAACTACGCCCCGGTCAGCACTGCCATCCCATTTTCCAGATGGGGCATCGACCTCGTCGGCCCATTACCAAGAGCTGCGGGCAACAACAGATACATCATCGTCGCCATCAATTACTTCACCAAATGGGTCGAGGCCGAACCACTCGCAAGCATCACCGGAGTGCGGTGTCGAAAGTTCGTCTACAAGAACATCCTCACCCGCTTCGGCGTGCCTCAGGAAATCATATCAGACAACGGCACCCAGTTTGAGGCCGAGCCGTTCCAAAGCCTCCTCCAAGAATGGGGTATCAAGCACCGTTTCTCCTCCGTTGCCTATCCTCAGGCCAACGGGCAAGTTGAGAACGCCAACAGAACCATCTTGGAGGGACTAAAGAAGAAGCTTGAAGAAGAAGGCGGAAGTTGGGTCGACGAGCTCCCCAACGTCCTATGGTCCTACCGAACTACTCCAAGGAGGGCCACCGGGGAGACGCCATTCTCCTTGTGCTACGGCTTCGAAGCCAAGGCTCCCACTGAAGTCACCCTCCCCAGCCGACGGGTCACACAATACGACCCCGAAGCCAATGAAGAAGCCATGAAGATTGACTTGCACCTCATTGACGAAAGACGGGAGATGGCTTACCTTCGGGCAGAAAACTACAGACGCCAAGTCAAATCCTACTATGACGCCAAGGTACGCTCCCGCGAATTCCAAGTGGGGGACTACGTCCTCCGCCGAAGGGAAGTAAGCAAGCCAACGGAAGGAGGAAAGCTCGCCGTCAAATATGAAGGGCCCTACATCGTCAGCGCCGTCATCAAAGCCGACACTTATAGACTAAAGAACACTAATGGGTCAGATGTACCACGATTGTGGAATGTACACCACCTGGTGAAATTTTACCAATGACTCGAGAAGCGGTGAAGCGGGCAACGTCCCCCACCCCTCGGCTTAGTGGTTGAATAAAACACCCTCGGCCTAGCGCCACTTGTTGAATAAAATTCATGTTTCATCCAATCTTTTAAGATTTGAGCAAGGGGACCGCATCGGCCTAAGCAGTGCAATCACCCGGGACCGATGCGACCTAAAGCCGTCGCAATAAACGACGCATCTAAAGCCGTTGCAATAAACAACGCACCTAAAGCCGTCGCAATAAACGACGCACCTAAAGCCGTCGCAATAAACGACGCATCTAAAGCCGTTGCAATAAACAACGCACCTAAAGCCGTCGCAATAAACGACGCACCTAAAGCCGTTGCAATAAACAACGCACCCAAAGCCGTTGCAATACACAACGCACCTAAGGCCGTTGCGATCCACAACGCGCCTGCAAAGCCGTTGCATAGACAACGCACCCGAATATCGTATCGGCACAAGCGGTGAAACACCCAAATCGGCCGGCGATATGTAGGACGAAGGACCTGTGTGCATGGTCCGACGTCTTCAAACGGAGAAGCATACCGCGTCGTCCTCGCGGAAACCGCAGGACGACAAGCCTGAATTAAGGCCGAGGTTACAAAAACTCCACCCGTCAGTAAAATTTCGTTCAGGACCACAAAGGGCTGCCGTCTAAAGACGATACATAGCCCGGTCCCTCGTCGACGATAGACGTGGAAAGGCCAAAAAAGATGCCACTGACACACCAAGCCGAGGGCGTATTTACTCCCTCGCACTAATTCACGCGAAGAGCGTAGCGGACAAACTACCGCAAACGGACGAAGGGACAGTAACCCTTCGGCCACCCCAAAAAAAAAAAAAAAAAAAAAAAAAAGAGGGAAGCCGACGGACCGCGCACTCGCCGGCCTCGAGCAAAAAATAAAATCCCCACAAAAACCAAAGCCTCAAAATCGGCTAAGTACATATCAGGTTTTCACCTAAGAGGAATCCGAGGTGCACGCTTCGGCCTCAACCACAGCTTCATAAAAGAATCGCTTCGGTTTCGGTTATACGAAGCTACATTCAAGTGTTTGGACGACGGGGGCGCATCGTCTCCGATTAAGAAATCCCAAATGGCGAACCGAGGCAAAAAACCTCCATCAAGTCAAGGCGAGGCGATACCAACCCATATCTAGGTATCGCTTCGTCCTCAACCAACCAAAACGAAAGCAGCACACCAAGGGTTGACGAGGTACAACGTCCCCGGTGATAACAAATGGAAAGAGGACCGCTACGTCTCAGCGGACGGATGTCACAAGATAAACTCTTGGCACTTAGAAAGATTTCAGAACTTTGGGGCCATGCCTTACCTAAGACGCAAGGGACGTAGCGCCGCGCCGATGAAAAGTTTCAACACTTGGTAGATTTTTGAAACACATGTTCTAAATACAACAGTTCAGACGAAGGGGCGCATCGTCCCTATTATAAGATGCAGGAAACACGCGCAACGTCCTCACACACATACGAGTGAGGCGAGGGTGCGCCCACATCAACACAGAGGAAATGATGGAACGCATCGTCTCAAAATTGGCAAATTTACCAAGATAAAAACTGGCGAAGCAATGTTAGTCAGACGACACGGCATCAACAAACCAAACACCAAACATAAAAGAGAAATCGAAGCGAGGAACAACATTCATACTTGAACAAAAAAGTCGTCATTAATGATTCAGAACATACAAGGAGGGCGCTTCGGCCATTACAAAAAAGGGGCACTTCGGCCAACACTAATCTACCAGACGCTACGTCTGAGACAAAAAAATGAAAGAGGAAAAGGAACACTAAGCTACATCTCCAGCCTGCCCCTGGCCCCCATCAACAGCCCCACTGTCGGCGTCATCCTCGTCGTCCTCGGCGGTTTTTGACTTAGCTGAAGTCCGGAAGAGATAGTCGTCACTTTCGGTCCATGGCTCCTTTTCCTCATCGGAGCTCAGAATGGGGCGCTGCCTCTCGGCCAATGGAAGCTTCAACTCCTCCTCAGGGTCCTTCATCGGTCTGGGGAGGCCGATACCCTGGGGCCTCAGATTCTTGACACGCCGGCGAAGCCTCCGGTAAATGAGCATTTGCATACGCCGTTGCCCAAGGTCATAGAAGACCTCCATCTCTTGCTTCCAAAAAGCTTGACCAGCCGGGTCTTCTTGCGACCAAGCTTGGAAGCGATCGGCCACCACCTGAAAGCAGAACTGGCGATGTTCATCGGCTTTCCACCCCTCGGCCATGAACAGATCAACAGCCTTCTCGGCAGCCCTCTCCGCTTCGGCCTTCAGCTCCTCGGCCTTCTTCGCTTTATCTTCTGCCAACCGGCGGGCTGCGGCCTCCCCCTCCAATTTGGCCTCAGCTGCAACGGCCCTGCTCTCAGCCGCATCGGCCTTCTCTTTAAGGGAGCTGACCTCGGATCGGAGAAGCTCCAGGGAAGCCAAGGCCTCATCGGCCGAGGCAACCTTTTTCTCAGCTTCCCGAAGGCGAGCGATCTCCTCCTCCTGCCGCCGATGCTGCTCCATCAGCATGAAGGCCCCCTGCAAAGACAAAACCGAAGTCAGACAAAAGTCGGGCAAGAAAAAAAAGGGGGGGAAATGAAAAAATCGTCAAGTACAAAAGCAAGGAACCTACTTGGACGACGTAATCCAACCCGCCATCGAAGAGACGCACTTCCTTGCCTTGACGACGAAGATAGGCCCTATCTTCATCGGGAATGGCCTGAAACAGGACGTCGTGGCCAGAGACTCTCTCATTGAAGAGCCCGCCCTTCGTCGGATACCGCACCGTCACTTCATATAAGCCGGTGGACAGTCCCCGACCGGAGCGAGCACCAGCATCAGTAGCTCTGTTGAAGTTAGACGAAGCGGGGACAAGGGCGTCCGAAGCCTTACCCAGCGTCAGGTCCTCAATCACCTGAACCTCCGAGGCATCATCCCCTTGGACCGGAGCCTGTGAGGCAGCCGTAGCAACATCAGAAGGAAGGGTCTGCCTCGGTTTCTTGACCCCTTGGGCCGGCTTCAACCCCGCTTCGGCCAGAGTTTGCTGACCCTCAGCGGGTCTCCTCTTCTTTTGAGCCGCAGCCTTTTTTGCGGCACCGGCCTGGCCCTTTGAGCCATCAGCCGAGCTTTTGGACGCATCGGCTTGCTGGGCAGCCTGCATTTCCTTGTCAACCATCTTCTTGGCTTGAGTCATAAAAAGCTTGCGACTCATCTCGAATCCTGCAGATGCGAACATAAAACAGAGTTAGAAACAAAAGATATACAAAGTACAAAGGATCAGAGGAAAGTAATCAACCTTCGGCATCGGCTGGGACGCCGAGGTAGGGCCCATCGGCCTCTTCAAAGTAACCAGACATCCTCGGCCATAGCCCACAGTCGGGGTCACCGGGGATGAAGTACCTCATCATACCAAGGGCGGCAATTTTGAACTCAGTGATATATTTATCAACACTCCATGGCCCCCCCCTCGAGGAAGGCCTCCACTTGGGCATCAATCTCAGCACTCCTCGGCGGATCGTGCAGATTAAAAACACCACTATGACCTTGAGAGGGGAAGAAGACCCCATCGGCCAGCTTCACGAAGCAAAATTTTGCTTTCCATCCATGGATTGATGAAGGAAGATCGGTGAAAGACCTCTTCTTCGGTAGTTGCTGAAGGGCCGCATATCCAGCACAGTTTTCATGACTCCCTCGCCCGATACGGTACAGATTCATAAATAAAGCCGTCGTCGGCTCCATCCCCAACTCACCACATCGGAGGAGGAACCCGACGATGAGGGAGTAGCTATTTGGAGTTAACAACGCCGGAGGAATATCTATCATGTTCAAATATTCCGCTACAAAAGGATGCAACGGAAACCTTAGGCCCTTCGAGAAAGCCATCGGATACACCCCGATGTAGCCGCTGGGAGGATTTAGGACGTGGTCTGTCGGCCTCGGGGCCCTAACCCGACCATAAGGACCTACATACAGTTGAGCCACCTGGTACTCACTCGGCGAACACTCCGGCTTGATGAGGTATATGTTGGTCAAATCCAATTGAGATCGGCCGACGGCCATACCTCTCCGCCGACGCGACCTACTTTTCTTCACACGCGGAGGGACGGTTCCCGGGACGGAAGAAATCGGAGGAGGACAAGGAATGGCGGCAGAAGAGGCATCACCCGCTCCATCCCCTTGAAGCTTAGGCTCAGAGCTCGCCTCGTCCTCCCCAGAACTGTGCGCACCCGCATCAGCACTAAGCCTCTCTTCGTCCACTGAGGTACGGTAGTCAGCAGTGTTTTCCATCTCCACCTCAAAGGCTTCAATCACCCGCAAATCAACCTGAGGGGACGTCTCGTCCTCGTCAAAGGGCCAATCCTCTTCGTCCAACGAAGCTGTCAAGTCAATAGGGGAGGGGATGCTACGGCCGTCAGGAAACGGCATAACACCTAAGTTTATTCCTAAGGGTGGTTTCTCGGATCAAAGTGACTTTCCTACGAACACTAGATCTAACCACCTAGGAAGCAAAGTATAAGAGAAAAACGAAGAACAAGTCAAGAACCTAACCTTGGAGGTTTGAAGATCTGGCGAAAACTCGAACAAACTTCGGGAGTTTCTCTCTCTAGAAACAAAGGGGCAGCAATTCGACAACAGCAAGACACAAATGAGGAGGCGGCTTCGGAATGAGGGGATATTTATAGAGACCTTCCAACGGTCACTACACGTGGCGCCATCCCATTGGCTCCACCAACGGCCACCTCTCCCCCAACCAATCAAAGGGCACCAATTCAAAATCACCCATACAAGCATCCCCACGGCCCAACTACTACAAGGCTCCAAAGCAGGCATCGGCCCACACTTCCGATGAAGGGGGAACACATCGGCCTAAACTCAACACCCTCACAGCAACCCAAGGAACCTTAATAGGCCGCTACGGCCGCTTGTGCGCGCATCGTCGATAATAACCCTGGCATTGCGGCCTTCGTCCAAGGGTTCTCCCACAGGGTTACCTTGGACAGGTTCACCTAAGGGTTGGAGTCACGACTAACGCACAGGTACCGGATCGGCTCAGTACTCCCTTGTGCCTCAGATGCTCTTCGGCCAAAGGAGTGGGGGACTGGGGGACTGTATCGGAAACAAGAAAAGGAAGTGCAACGGCCTTAATACAAAAGGGTGCGCTACGGCTTGCCAACAACAAAAGAACTGGGGATCGCATCGGCTACAGAGCCCAGGAATTAGAACCCCAAGATAAAAAAAATCTAGCGCAACGGCTACGTACACTGAGAGGGCCGCATCGTCTCACCATAACAAAAACTCACAAGTCAAAACGCTTCGGCCGCATAACAAAACGGAGGTGCGCATCGCATCGTCTACATAAACAGAATCAACCATCTTCATCTCATGAAAATAGGTCTTCGCTACGGCCAAAAGGATAGATGGAAGCTCTTCGGCCCCAACAAAGTGACAATGAAAGCATGCCAACTTATCCACCAAGGATTCTTCGCATCATCTACAAAAAAAGAAAAGCGCATCGCCTCGTCTTCAAAAGCACTTCCATAGAGTGTGCATCGGCCCGCATCAAGGCTATGAGTTCCCAATCACGCTTCATCTACATCAAATAAGGGAACCGCTTCATCAAAAAATCAAAGCAGGAACTCTTCGGCCATCAAACGCCTTAGACTCACGCAACGGCCGGCCAGAAAGGAACAAGTACTCCCTTTCGCTTCGGTTTCACCTCAGCTCAGAGAGTGGGGGACTCCTGATAGAGTATATGGGCCTGGACCCCATGGCCCACATACTCAACGGCCCAAAAGACACCAGCGGAACACCCGCATCGCCCAGAGGCGCGTAGCGTCCAAGAGAGAAGATATCGCCCGATTTTTATGGACCGCATCGTCCATGGACCGCGTCGTCCATGGACCGCGTCGTCCATGGACCGCGTCGTCCATGGACCGCATCGTCCATGGACCGCATCGTCCGGACTTCGTCCGGGCAGAATGTATTTTCCTATTTTTTGTACTAAGTGTTGTACTCAGCCCATTAGTGGCCTTTATTCGCCCAAAGAAGGCATGATCATTGTAATGGGCCTCCTAAGCCCAAGGCTAGGGGCCCAAATCTACATCTTTTCCTATAAATAGACCCCAAGGGGCTAATTATAGGGAATTCTTTTCCAGATTGAGAAATATAATTACTCGCTTTCTCTCTCTAGCTCTCTCTTCTCTCTAGAATTAATACTCTATCAATATTATTTAATAGGATGTCTATATTTTATACTTCGACTTTTATCTTATTTTTATATTTGTATTTTATTTTCCTTTTTTGCAATTCTTACCTTTTCTAACGGTTCAGGTGTCAAATTGAACAACTCTGTCAGATTCAGAGGTCTATTTGACGTGGGATGCACGGTTGGCATCTGACTGAGTGATGTGGTGGGGATCAGACTTTTACTGCAAAAAACAAAATGATATTTGAACTTTTTGTCGAGTTCAAGGGGTGAATTAGAGTTTTTTAGAGTTCAGGATGCGAATTAAGCATTCCGAACGGGTACATGAGCCTATTTGACACTTAAGCCTTATTTTTTTGAATTGGTAGTATTTGTACCTATATTCACTGTATTATACTTCGTATTAAACAAAAAAAGACCTTATTATGTACATAGTATTAAAATAAACCACTTGTGCATATATGTGAATACGTGTAAAGCAATTTTATGAGCTTTCATATATATGAGCCCATTAATTTAAGAAGGAAAACAATTTTGTCTAACCAAAATTTATGTATGATGATTATTGATGACGGATGAGCATAAATAAACATTAAGCATGAAAAAACCGACAAGAAAGGAAATAAATAACCTTTGACATACTCCGTATGATTCTTGAGGGAACCTGCGTACTTCCCGATCAAACTGGACGCCTCTTTGTCCCATAGAAGGTATGAAACATGGGTGGTCCCATTCACAATCCTTACATTGACCTTATATATTTTGACACTTAAGTTAGATTAATAATAATAAAAAGGATGTAGTAACATAAAGAAAGGGAGTGCAAACCTTATACTTATATATTTTGACACTTAAGTTAGAATAATAATAATAACTAACATTATAGGATGTAGTAACATAAACAAGGGAGTGCAAACCTTAGAACCGTATAGAAGTTTCGACATATATAACCTCTCATCATGGAATATTGTTTCGTGAGCAAGCTCACGGTACACCTTAAATAGTTGCTCACGTAGTTTTTAATATCTGAATTTAGAGACCACGTCTTAAGTCTTAACCGTTGTGTTAAAATATTTTGTAGGTGGTTTATGTTTAAAGAGTGTGGTGAAACAATAAGATCAAGATATATATTTATAGCCTATGTCGAGATACAAATAAATTAAAAGGCCACAATTCGATCGTGACTCTTACGACCTATTTGGATTGAGTGTTAAAAAGTGTTAGTAATGAAAGTGTTAAGGAGTGTAAATCCTAACACTTGTTTGAGAGAGAATAGACTCAAATAGGACTAAAATAAGTTTGTTTACTCTCAAATAGGACTAAAGAAAGTCACCAATCATCTCCTGCGGCTCCCATGAAACCCATCACTAGTGCCGTAGATCCGTCGGAAAATGCAAAATTAGATCGGCGTTAGTGCAGAGATTGATGGGATTTGGAAGAGAAGCATTGGTCAAGGTCGGATCGATCGGGCAGGCTAGGTCAAAAGCTTAGGGCTGGGGCACAAAGGTAGTATTCTTCTGACTTGGACAATTTCTTGATTTGGGCCAAGGATAAGAGATTCTCGGGGGAGGAAGGCGAGATTGAATTGATTCTTATTCCCGTGTTTGATCTTTTCCATCTCCGCCTGGCTCGTTGTCACCTATATTAATTGAAGAAAGTTGGGAACCTTGTAGAGAATGAAGAGGAGCCAGAGTGATAACATCTGCAAGCTTTGAACAGAGCATTACCTTTTTGAGTCTGATCGTTGTCTTGGACTAGTAAAGGAAAAAATAGAAAAAGACATTGAATTGTATTGTCAAAGTTTAAGAAGGCATTCTGGTTGACCTTTTCAATTTGAGTTTTGCTTTTCTGTTTGTTTGTTTTAACTTACATACTCTCTTTATGAAATTAATTTTTAAGAGAGTAGTTTATTATTTTTTGGCAAATCCGATGATTAATACCGTGACATTGTTAGTAATATAGTATTAATAGCAATGTAGCATTATCTTAATTTTGTTGGAATTTATTACATTATTTTGGAAAATGACATTGAATTGTATTGTCAAAGTTTCCTAAATCATGTTACCATGTTGAAAAATATCACAATCAAATGTTCACATTTTAATATTGCTTTTAACACAGTCTGAAAAGCGATATTAATATTTCTAAACAATGCCACAATGTCCAGAAACAAATGACATTAGTAACATCAATGTTATAAAAATGACATTATAATAATGACAATGTCAATGCTGAAGTCAATGACTGTCGTAACATTGTTTTCATGGCATTATCAATTCTATAAAAGTTAACATTGTTAAATATGTCAATGCTATACAAAGTGACATCATTGATACAGAAAAACATTATTGACAATATATTATGATCTATTATTATAGAATATAATATACAATGTCATCATATGATAATGTAATATACAATGTCACCATACGACAATGTCATTATATGACAATGTAATGATGTCATTGTTTGAAAATCAATGTCATTGAGTAAAACAAAAACAAAACAACAGAGTAACAAAATGTTACAATGTTAACGTAAACTATTGACATTGTGAATGTTCAAAATATGACATTGTGAAATTGTGACATTGTTATGTGATCTAACATTGTGACATTAACAATGTCACATTACCGAAAAGTGACATTGTTTCCTTTATAACATTGAGATATAGTGACATTGTAATGACGTCATTGTAAAATAATACGTAAATGACATTGTCAAAAAACTATCAGAATGTCGAAAAAATGTCACAATAAAAAAATAACAATGTCGGAAAAATAACAATCACATGTCAATATTAATGCTATAATAGAATGTCATGAAAATATTAATGTATACATGGTTGCGTTATTTCATTTATAGAATGTCATTAGCTTTAATTTTATCGAACTATTACATTTTTATTTTAAGATTTTTATAATTATGATAGAAAGTAGTATACCGTGCATCGCACGTGTAATATACTAGTTATGACAATGACAATGTCAATGCTACAAAAATGACATTGTAATAATGATAATTCAATGCAACAAAAAATGACATTATTAAAAACAATTACCATGATGTAAAAAAAATAA